GGCTGGCTCGAGCGCAGACACGAAGTGACAGGGGAACAAAGCCTGCGAGTGCAGCCCAAGGACTGTCTGACCGCCGGGTTTAACTCCTTCGCCACTCCGGGGATGTCTTTTCTCCGCTGGAGCCACTGCCCAGCCCACAGGGAAGGCCAGAGCCTGCCCGGGCTCGTGGAGCAGGACCCAGGCTCAAACAAAAGGTTCCCGCTGCATCCCAGGGAGAATCGGCCTCTCGGCTTGGGGGCCCGCGGCTTTCGGCATCGCCCGACTCCCAAGCGCAGAGCGTGGGTTGCGGTGGACTGCCCTCGTGACCCGCTCTCTGTGGCTGGTAGCACCAGCCAGGCACGAGGGGAGCGTGCGGCTTCCCCAGCCTGGGGTCTTCCGTGCGTCTTGTATCCCAGCTCAGCCTTGCTTACCCAAGGCCCCGTTCTCCAGCAGCTGCCGCAGCCCCCCTGGGTCCTCTCGGCTGCTTCAGAAGGACGTGGCGAATTACAAATGTGCCCATTACGGTGGGAATGAGACGAGACGCCGCGGCAATGAAGACTGGCTGGGCTCAGCGAGCCTCGCTGCACGTTGGCGCTGCCACCGAGCATCGTTCCGCCGTGCGGGATGCCTGGAGCTGCCGGCCGGCTCTGGGTGCGTCTGCCAGCGCCCCGCTCTGGGGTTCAGGCCAGCCAGAGCCAGCTGATGGGGTCAGAGGCTGTTCGGAGGAGCAGGGGGCACGGCCCCTTCCTGGGATCTTCTGAGTGTCTATTAAGGCCCTTTGCAGCAGCAGGACGTTGGGTGCCACGGTCCCCCTGCTTTGCCTGTGGCAGGTTCGAGGTGCCGTCGGGGGGACTGCATAGCATGGCTAATAGGGTGGTTTGGACAGGGCTGATCCTGCTTCAGGCAGGGTTTGGACTTGGTGTGACAGTGGAGCTCCCTTCCAGCCCTGCAGCCAGGGCATTGGGGCCAGCTGGTGGAGAGTGCTAACCTTTCTTCCCCTCCAAACCTTTGCAAGAGTTTGCGGAAAGGAGCAGGATGCGACACAAGGAACAGCAGGTGCATGCTCTATGCAGTGAGGGGAAGAAGGGGACTAGCCTTCAAACCGCTGCAAACATGATTTTATTAGTGGAACAAATTAGGGGTACGTGAGGGACTGTTCGCATGCGTACAATGATCTCTGCAGGCCCAGGGGATGGCATGGAAAGAGCCACGAATGAGACAAGTCACTCGGGAAGTCCGCAGCTGTGGACGGTGGCTGCTGCGAGCCAGGCCACTGGGCCGCTGGCCTGAGCCGGAGCTGGCTGCCCGCGCTGCTCGGAGCCGGCTCACCTTGCACCCACCTGGCGCATCTGAGAGGAGAAGAGTAGGGGCTCCGGGAAATGCAGCACTCGTGGTGGGGGTCGGCTGGCTGGCCCTGCCAGCTTCCCGCCATGATCAACGGCAGCCGGGGCCTCGGCAGCCAGCGCCCCATCCGAAGATACAAGCAAGGGCTGCAAAGTGCGCGCCCCTTCCCACCCGGCTCCAGCTGAGAACGCCTGGCGATTGTGCTGAGCTGTCACGCTGCGGGGTCCCTGCCCTGGATTTTGTGGGGCTGACACCGGGACAGCATATTAATGACACCAGTGCCATGATCCCAGCCCGCCTGCAGCCCGGGGTCCTCTCACTCGGTGACAAATGCACGGCACTTAACCCCCCTCCCCAACAAGACACTTACTGTATTTTACATTATTTTCTGGTACATGGGTCCCTGCGGGCTGCCTAGAAATCCATTAGCAAGAGATGTAAAGATGCTTAAAGGCATTTACCCAGATTAGCTGCCTTTACTCAGTCAAGGATCTTTTAAATGATTACCTTAAAAGCTGAAGAGCTGCTGCAAAACATTTATAATACAAAGATTCCTAAGCAAAGAGCATCCATCCGACAGCAAATTAAGTCATTAAAAACAAACAGATTGCTCGGCTTGCTTTTAGTTCCAGCTGAACAGCAGAGAAGGTAAAAATAGTTAATACGTAGTGGGTGCCTTTCCCTTCTGGAGCTGGCAGGCAGGAGCTGTGCTGCTTCTAGCCCCGATTTATGAGCCCGTTTTACATTCGCTTTCCTTTTGGCCGGGATTTCTGTCGCTTAGCTGTGATCGAGGAATGGCAGCAATGAGCTGGCGCTGCCGGCAGCACCGTCTTGCTGGGGTCAGGCCGTGGAAAGCCATGCCCGGGCCCCTAGGGAGGAGGTCAGGCTTGCTAGATTTGAGAGTCACAGATGGTGCTGGGTGTATTTGGGCTCTTCAAAACCTGCATCCTTGTTCCTGCTAATTCTGTCCCCGCTCTGGCTTTGCTCACACACCTCCGTTGGCCAAGCCTGCACAGCCGTGCCACCCCCTGGGCCTGCCCCGGCAGAGCTATCCAGACCTGTGGGGCTTGCTGCTGTGCCAGCGTCCCATGGCGCTGCCAGGCCACCCGGGTCCTGATCTGCCCCAGCACCCTCTGCCATCCCAGGCTGCCTTTTTGGAGCAGGAACAGCAATGATCTGGGCTGCACTGGACCAGGCCCCAGGACCACCCGAGCTACTTTCCCTCCCAGCTCCTTTACCCTTCAGACTAAACAGGTGTTTGTCAGCAGCAGACAGGGCGGCCCTGCTCCCTGCTGAGACGCGGTCCTTTAGCTCGGGAATCGACGGTCTCGGATTCCGGTCCCGTTTCCTTGGGGCCAGCATCCATTTTCGTGTCATGAGGGCTATTTTCACCATGGTTTCAGAACTCTCTTTCTGCCCCCACTTGCAGCAGGCAATAGCTCATGTCAGGGAGCTGCGGCAGCGCGGGGTCTGCTCTGCAGCGGTGGTCTGGAGCCCTGCGGGGCCAGGCTGATGCCTGCAGCCCTGGCCAGGACTTGCATTCCTGCACTGCTCTTGCCCCGGGTTTCTCCTGCGCCCACTGATTGCTGGGGACCGGTGGCAGGGACAGAGCGCTGCGTGCGTGCGCAACGCAGGTGACATCCTGGGGTGTGCAGTCCAGGGAGCTGGCGTGCCACCCCCGTGCTGGCTCCCGCATCCTGGTGCTCTGTTCTCTGCCAGCGTCCACCCCTCTCTCCTGACCCTGACTCTGAGCAGGGACCCCCATTTCATGCTGTGTTTGTGCAGCACCAAGCGCCGTGTGGTCGGGGTCCCGGGCCAGGCCCAGGCCCAGGCCCAGGCCCAGGCCCAGGCCCAGGGCAATCTGGATAGACCCCATGCTCCTTTTTGCACTAACAGCTGTTTCTTAAGCGCTCCATCTTGCCAGAGACCCGTTTCCCTCGGCAGTACGAGACTCCAGAAGCATCATTCAAACACCTCTGGCTGCTCTAGCCCCGAGTCCCCACAGGGGTCTGGCATGCTCCCGCAGCTGGATGGAAACGCTTTGTATTGTGTCAGCACCGGGAAACCACCAGCCTCCGCTCCTCCCAACGCACCCCGTGCCTGTGCACTGCTCTCGGGCATCCCGCGGTCCGCATCGATTCGGTGCCCCCGTGGCATGAGCGGCCGGATCCCTTCTGTGCGTAGCAAGCTGCCGCGCTCCGGAGGCTGCTAAATGCGATCCATACTTCACACCCCGTGAGTCGCGTTTCATATTAGAGCAATCTCGTTTGAAAGGGCATCCTTCAGGCGCAAACTAGCTTTTCCCCACACTTGACTGATCGCACAAATAACCGTGATTAAAGGTCAAGCGCCTGGGCTTTTCTCTTTTACTCCTTAAAAATTTATATGCGAAAGAAACCCTGGGAGTTAACACAGCATGAAATTGTGATGCAGTTCGGAGCCTGTAACGACAACGACAGATCCCTTCTCTTCCGGGGCGAGTGGAAAACCCTCCGCAGGAACGGCTCTGGCGACCTAACCCCGTCTTTCGTCTGGCTGCCCTGCAGGCGACGGGGGAGCTTGCCGGCCTTCCCCGTGCCCCCGGAAGCTCCCCGCCCCGGCGCTGCAGCTCAGGGCTCCGCTGAAGCGGCACCGGCAGCAGAATCCCCGCGAGAGCTCGCCTCACGTCCTGGGCGTTCCTTATTTTTTAATTATTTTTTAATTATTGTTATTTTTTATTCGCTTTCCCAGGGGCATCGCTGGTGGCGGTGGCCCTCGTGGCCTGGGTCGCCCCTGCAGGCCCGGGCGCGTCGCTCCGCGAACCGGCGGCCGCCGTCGTTAGGGTTCAGCGTGAACGCCCGGGCAGCGCAGGGTTAACGCAGCCCGCGGCACGTGCGGCCCCGCCCCTGCGCTGCCATTGGCCCGCAGAATTGCCCGCCCACCCGG